CCTATGGGTCAGATGATTGCATTGCACCATTAAGCAATTGGTAATTAAATATAATATTTTTGTCCTAAAAAGTGTAAAATTTTCGAAATTTTTTTCACGAACATTAATTGTCACGCACAACGAGTCTGTGTGGAAAATGTCGGCTCGACTGGATCACGAGAAGTGGGTTAAAAAACGACCGAAAGATAAGCCAGCAAGCGAATTTAATATAAAGGATTTTTAAAAAACCTAAGAATGTGTGTGAATTGAATGGGGGAAGAGGAGTGACATGTCTGTTGATATCTCTGAGAGACGGAGCGTGCTGGTGGCGGCGGTGTGTTTTAACGTATTGGTTTGTTGATATATTTTGCAAGGATTATTGTATCATTGTTTGTACTTGGGAGGAACGCAAACAGAGATGACGAAAAATATAACAAACATTGTTGATGATTTGTACGACGACTCGACGTGTCTTTGTAAAAGTTTACCGTTCGTTTTGTGTGTGTGTGTTTTACATGCATATAGCACTCCTCTCAATGCTTGACTTGTTCAATGTCAAAGATGTTAACTACCGCGTCTGGTCTACAGGAGGTCGTGGGTTCGATCCCGACCCTAACGACGCCTGCTGCTGCTGTATATTTGGAGTTTGTGTCTCTCTCTCTCTCATCATCATCACGGTGGCTCGGAGATGTTAACTACCTCGCCTGGTGTGCAGGAGGTCGTGGGTTCGATCCCGACCCTGATAATGTCTGCTGCTGTATATTTGGAGTTTGCGTGTCTCTCTCCCTCTCATCATTATCACGGTGGCTAGGAGATGTTAACTACCTCGCCTGGTATACAGGAGGTCGTGGGTTCGATCCCGACCCTGACGATGCCTGCTGCTGTACACTTGGAGTTTGTATGTTTCTGTCTCTCATCATCATCACGGTGGCTAGGAGATGTTAACTACCTCGCCTGGTGTACAGGAGATCGTGGGTTCGATCCCGACCCTGACGACGCCTGCTGCTGTATATTTGGAGTTTGTGTCTCTCTCTCTCTCATCATCATCACGGTGGCTAGGAGATGTTAACCCCCTCGCCTGGTGTACAGGAGGTCGTGAGAGAGGAGACACTCGGGGGGGAGGGGCTGGGAGAGGAGCTGGTGGTAGTGGGGGAAGGGGCGGGGTAGTGGGGGGGGTAGTGGTGGGGGGCTGGGAGAGGAGCTGGTGGTAGTGGGGGGGAGGGGCGGGGTAGTGGGGGGGGGGTAGTGGGGGGGGGGCTGTGGGGGAGGAGGGCTGTGGGGGAACTCGAGTAGAGGACGCGTTGGAGGCTATTTTGAGCCATCGGCACGAACCCATCACGGGGCCTTACTGGGACATGGTGGGCCCGGGTGTCTGTGTGGTGTGTCTGAGTGTCTGTGTGGTGTGTCTAAGTGGTGTGTCTGTGTGTCTAAGTGGTGTGTCTGCTGCGTGGTGTGTCTGTGTGGTGTGTCTGTGTGGTGTGTCTGTGTGGAGTGTCTGTGTGGAGTGTCTGTGTGGTGTGTCTGTGTGGTGTGTCTGTGTGGAGTGTCTGTGTGGAGTGTATGTGTGGAGTGTCTGTGTGGTGTGTCTGTGTGGTGTGTCTGCGTGGTGTGTCTGAGTGGTGTGTCTGAGTTGTGTGTCTGTGTGGTGTGTCTGTGTGGTGTGTCTGCATGGTATGTCTGCATGGTGTGTCTTTAAGACAACGGCCTCGGCCATCGGTAGTTTCATTGACCGCGTGTCTGTCCGTCTGCCTGTCCGTCTGCCTGTCCCCCCAGCCGTGTCTTACAAAAGGCAGCCGTCATTCTACGAATGATCGATCGGGTGACTCGGCTCGACTTGCCTGCGACTGACTGACTCACTGACTGACTCACTGACTGAGTCGCTGGCTGGCCGGTCGGCTGACCGACTGACTGACTGACTGGCTGACTGACAGACTGACTGACTGTCTGACTGACTGGCAGACTGACTGGCTAACCGGCTGACTGACTGGCTGACTGACTGACTGGCTGACTGACTGACTGGCTAACCGGCTGACTGACTGGCTGACTGACAGCGCTGACTTGTGGCTGGCCGTGGCGATGTTGGCCTCAACGAGGCGCCTCCTCCACGACTCGTGAGCTCCTCGAGTCCCACGACCCCACAGCCCCTGGGCCGCAGCAGCAGCAGCCGCAGCAGCAGCAGCAAGCAGCAGCAGTAGTAGCAGTAGTAGTAGCAGTAGTAGCAGCAGCAGCAGCAAGCAGCAGTAGTAGCAGCAGTAGTAGCAGTAGTAGCAGCCGCAGCAGCAGCCGCAGCAGCCGCAGTAGCAGTAGCCGCAGCAGCCGCAGCAGCAGCAGCAGCAGCCGCAGCAGCAGCAGCAGCAGCCGCAGCAGCAGCAGCAGCAGCCGCAGCAGCAGCAGCAGCAGCCGCAGCAGCAGCAGCAGCAGCCGCAGCAGCAGCAGCAGCAGCCGCAGCAGCAGCAGCCGCAGCAGCAGCAGCAGCCGCAGCAGCAGCAGCAGCCGCAGCAGCAGCAGCAGGAGCAGCAGCAGCAGCAGCCGCAGCAGCAGCCGCAGCAGCAGCCGCAGCAGCACATGGGGTGAGTTCGTCTGGCAACGTCCTACCGGTAACATTCAGCCAATCGTGCTTCTGTTATGGGGGGGGGGTCGATAAAGTAGAACAAAATTAGTACCGCTTTGTATGTACGTGCATTGAACTTCTTTCGCTCCGTATGTGTCCAACCGCGCTAAATCGTGCGGGAGGGACGGACGAGAAACTATGGGTCTCTGTGTGAGTCTATGGGTCTTTGTGTGAGTCTATGGGTTTCTGTGTGAGTCTATGGGTTTCTGTGTGAGTCTATGGGTTTCTGTGTGAGTGTATGGGGTTCTTTGTGAGTCTATGGGTCTCTGTGTGAGTCTATGGGTCTCTGTGTGAGTCTGTGGGTCTCTGTGTGAGTGTATGGGTCTCTGTGTGAGTGTACGGGTCTCTGTGTGAGTGTATGGGTCTCTGTGTGAGTACATGGGTCTCTGTGTGAGTATATGGGTCTCTGTGTGAATCTATAGGTTTCTGTGTGAGTCTATGGGTCTCTGTGTGAATCTGTGGGTCTCTGTGTGAGTCTGTGGGTCTCTGTGTGAGTCTGTGGGTCTCTGTGAGTGTATGGGTTTCTATGTGAGTCTATGGGTCTCTGTGTGAATCTATAGGTTTCTGTGTGAGTCTATGGGGTCTCTGTGTGAATCTGTGGGTCTCTGCGTGAGTCTATGGGTCTCTGTGGGAGTCTATGTGTCTCTGTGTGAATCTATAGGTTTCTGTGTGAGTCTATGGGTCTCTGTGTGAATCTGTGGGTCTCTGTGTGAGTCTGTGGGTCTCTGTGTGAGTCTGTGGGTCTCTGTGAGTGTATGGGTTTCTATGTGAGTCTATGGGTCTCTGTGTGATTCTGTGGGTCTCTGTGAGTGTATGGGTCTCTGTGTGAGTCTATACGTCTCTGTGCGAGTCTGTGGGTCTCTGGGTGAGTCTGTGGGTCTCTGTGAGTGTATGGGTCTCTCTGTGTGAGTCTACGGGTCTCTGTGCGAGTCTATGAAGGTGGCAGAAATTCCACATTCCCATGACGGGAGAGAGGTGGGTGGTTGGAGGGTGAATATCTCGACTATCTGGAGCACTGCCTCTGTCGCCTCCCCACATTCGGAAACGCTCATTGGCACTCATTCCATCCAGCGGATGACGATGGGCCGGACTCGATAGAGCACCCTTTCCCGATCGCCAGTTCAGAATCAGGAATAACTCACTGGTCAACAAAAAACAATAAAAAAATTCTGGCCTGGACTTTTGCAGCTGTTTGGAATCAGCACCACTAATTTCATGGTGCTAATTCCAAATCTGATCTCAGATTTGCTCGATCACATCTAATTTTTATGCAATCGGCATACCCCATTTTCATTGATTTTACCCGAAATTAACTCTTGTCACTTATGATTGCAAGTTGTTGCGAGTCAGTGACTGCTTTAGTGTTAAAATATGGTGCTGTATTTTTAGGATGACCAGTGTAATGTTACTGGTAGGAACCTCCTGGTTACACCAGCCAACAGGGGATTATTGTGTCCGTCCGTCTGTCGTGCATCCAAAAATAGGAGGGGTGGGGCTGGGTGGAGAAGGGAGGGGCTGGGTGGGGAGGGGCTGGGTGGGGAGGGTGGGGAGAAGCTGGGTGGGGAGGGTGGGGCTGGGTGGGGGGTGGGAGGGGTGGGGCTGGGTGGGGGGGGAGGGGCTGGTCACCCCGTGGTGCCCTTATAAAACTCAACGTTTAACCTACTCACGCCGGCTTGTGCCCGCCCTCACAGTCGGGCATATTTGCGGAATACACCACGCCGCCGTTGACCCTGCAGGCCATTGACCGAGCAACCCAACAACGTTCCTACCAGCTCCCTCCGCAGCAGGACAATGTGTTGTATGTCGGCCTCCATGATCGTCGCTGCTCGACGCGACCTGTCGACGCTCCGCCACGTGGCATTGTCTTGGTACTGCTCGTCACGTGGCGTCGTTCTCTGGTCTGACACTGCTGGTGAGACGAAGCCCAAAAGAAGGCTGCTGCTGCTGTGTTATCTCTGGTGTAGGCCAATCAGTTTCACAGATAATGCAAGTCACACTATAATTACATTATTAACACGTTCCCGCGGAGGGAGTTGGTAGGAACGTTGGGTTGCTCGGTCAATGGCCAGGGTCAACGGCGGCGTGGTGTATTTCGCAAATATGCCCAGCTGTGAGGGCGGGCACAAGCCGGTGTGAGTAGGTTAAACGTTGAGTATTATAAGGGCACCACAGGGTGACCAGCCCCTCCCCACCCAGCCCCACCCCTCCCACCCCCCACCCAGCCCCACCCTCCCCTCCCCTCCCACCCCCTCCCCACCCCACCCTCCCCTCCTCAACCAGCCCCACCCTTTCCACCCAGCCCCTCCCCACCCTTCCCTCCCCACCCAGCCCCTCCTCACCCTGCCCTCCCCACCCTCCCACCCCCACCCAGCCCCTCCCCACCCAGCCCCTCCCTCCCCACCCTCCCACCCCCACCCAGCCGCTCCCCACCCAGCTCCTCCCTGCACGACGGACGGACGTACACAATAATCCCCTGTGGGCTGGTGTAACCAGGAGGCCCCTCCCAGTATTAAAGACACTGCCTACGTGAGTAATACCACATTGTTGTTATTGTTATGAAACTGGTCTCGTGACACTGCTGGAGAGACTTGGCCATAGAGAGGGCTGCCAATGGTGTCTCTCAATCAGTCTCACAGACAACGCATGTCACACTACGACAACATTATTACATAAAAACAACGTCACCACGACCCATCTGATCGTGTCTCAGCAGGCCGGCGCGACCCATCTGATCGTGTCTCAGCAGGCCGGCGCGACCCATCTGTGCGGACCTCGGTTGGCGATGAAGATGACGACAACGACGGGGACGAGGGCAGCGCAGAGAATGGAGCGACGGGCGGCAGGGCAGGCTAGCAGTGGAGAAGGTATGTGCTTGCAGCGGAGATGGTGTTGATCAGCCAGCAGTGGAGATGGTGTTGATCAGCCAGCAGTGGAGATGGTGTTGATCAGCCAGCAGCGGAGATGGTGTTGATCAGCCAGCAGTGGAGATGGTGTTGATCAGCCAGCAGTGGTCGTGTCGCGGTTGGAGTGCCAAAGCCGCGCTGTGCATACGGAACCAGGGCCACCCGAGTTCGATTCCCGCTCACGGCCACCAACAGCACCAGTGACGATTGGTCACAAACGCAAAGTGTGTGGGGGGTGACCGCCGTTTTCTGTGTAGAGGTGGTACGTGCTGGCGAGGGAGGATCGTGAGACAGCGCGTGGTGGGTGGCTACATCTCGGTCCGCAGGCAGGTGTCCACATCGCGGTCCGCATAGGCCCCGCCCCCTGGCGCGGAGGGCTATGTAAGGCGATGCGCAGCAGCGCTCGGGGAGTCGGCATCAACCAGTGAAGAAAGAAGACGGAGCAAGAGACAGGGCCCTGGGACCCCTAGCCCCGCTGCCCTTGTAAGGGCCGGGACTCTGTGCGGCTCAGTGGCGAGACCTTGGGGATCACGGTCTGACGTCCTTGTAAGGGCCGGGCTGTGTGACCCAGGGGTCGAGACCCGTACCCTGGCTAGGACGGGCCAGATAGCCTCCCCTAGGAAGCGTGTAGCCGGAGGGCCTGAGGGCGTAGCCGGGTTAGGCACGCGTAGCGTAGGCTGTATCTCGGCTGTATCTGTTACTGTTGTGTTAGTGTTAATACACAAGTGCTGCCCCGTCAACTCGTCTAACGCCGTATTTAAGATATTACATCTGTACTCTTGAGGCAAAAGCAATTCGAAAACGACGCTTCGTACCCAGGAACAAAAATCGTGTTGCACCAGTGTCATCATTGTCGTGGTTGCAGGCGCCGTTTTGTCCACCAGGAGGCGCTGGGGACGCCACCTGACCAAGCAGCCGGAGATATGGGGCCGTCCATAAATGACGTCACGCACCTAGGGGGGGGGGGGGTCAGACATGTGTGACGATGTGTGACGAGGGGGGCGGGGGGTGTTTGAGAAATGTGACGTCACATCAAAATGCGCAACTTTAAATAAATGTAGACAACACGTTTTACGTAATTAGATAAACTTTTTAATAAATGTTCTCTCCTACAACATCAGAGTGCAGCGCCACATTAAATACGCACTACAATGACAATAGTTTGAAGCGATTTGAAGCATGTTTAATTTTTCAAAATGGAAATATGGTTTGGTTTTGGGGCGGGGGGCAGAGCTTTGTGACGTCATATTTGAGGGGGGGTCTGACTTTTTGTGACGCCGTGTGACGAGGGGGGGGGGGGGGTCAAAAATCGTCCAAAATCGCGTGACGTCATTTATGGACGGCCCCTAAGATAAATGATTTTTCTCATTGAAAATGAAAAAATTAACTTTTCTGCAAATAGTTTGGGTTGCGTTTAGAAACAACAAACAAACGAACGTAAAATGTAATTTATTCTTTCAACGTGAATTTGGCTTCATGAAGATCACATTTAAATTTGCTCGTCATTCGAAACCGTTGTAACAGCACACATTTAAGAAATGGTTTTACCCCTTTCCGTCAACAAGACAGTTTGCGTTGAGATGTTCAAACACCAAACACAGAAACCTTTTGCAAGGATTCGTGTCTGGTGCTACCGCTGGGGGTTGTGGTGGTGCTGGTGGTGGTGGTGGTGCTACTGGTGGTGGTGGTGCTGGTGGTGGTGGTGCTGGTGGTGGTGCTACTGGTGGTGGTGGCGGTGCTGGTGGTGGTGGTGCTGGTGGGGGTGCTGGTGGTGGTGGTGCTGGTGGTGGTGGTGCTGCTGCTGGTGGTGCTGCTACTGGTGGTGGTGGTGCTGGTGGTGGTGGTGCTGGTGGTGCTGGTGGTGCTGCTACTGGTGGTGCTGCTG